GCCATGCAATTTCGATGATCATTATCTCGAAGTATGAGAAACGTTGCTCATTTCTAGAAAAAATTGGTATATAAGCGGATGCGCAACGTTTTTTTTTTCATTTCAACCTAAAACTTTTTATGGATAATTGCAAGACTAGACGTTCGTGCCGCACTTTTTTTTTCGATTCTATTTTTCAACATCCTCAGGTCTGTGATGAAACGGTATGCCTCTGCTGCTCACCCGATGCTGCAAAGGGCGTCTCCTGGGAGATGGTTTCGAACGCGACCGACCCGTCGTCGTCCATGGCTCTTGCCTCCCACGTGTAGAAGAGGTTGCTCGGAGGACCGTTCCACGTGGATCCTTTTCAGCTGGCACCGAGAGTGGCGAAGCCTGGGTGATGCGGGTCCCACCGCTTCAAGAAGTGACTGCATGAACCAACTGGCTCATCCTGCCAAGAAGTCCAATTCAATTCATAACAGGCCTACGGTTTTGTGTGTGTGTGTGTGTGAGTGTGCGTGAGTGTGCGTGCGTGTTTGTGTGTTTGTGGAACATATATGGTTCAATGTGGACGTCGTGCAAACTACAAGCTGCGTGTTACCGGAATGCACACGACAGGGTATCCCGCTGGTGCCGGTGGTCCCAAGTGGCCTTTAACATTATCGTAGTACAGTAGGGATACCACCTGTGACAGTGAACATGCATAGAAACACGCGCAATAAATAGTACTGCAAATAAGGCGAACATAGTCGAAGTAAGTCGGCCACTTTTATTTGGCACTTCATGATTATTGCTTGCTTCCTCAGTGACTGGGCGAAAATACCATATATGCACGCACTCTTGCAGCCGTTGCTCAGAGCCATGTAAGGTTCTGAGTAGCCATGCTGCTCCGAACCTTAAATGGCTACTCGAGATCAATATTCCACAGCACATGCACGTGTCATGACTTTCAGAACAAACGTTGTTTGCGTGAAAAGCATGGTAAGACGCGTATACTATTGCCGTGAGGTCGCCTCTCTGAGTCGAACAATGTTTCGCACAAAATTGGCGCAGACATTCATACTCGGAATACTCACAACTGGCTTGATGAGACCTCTGGTAGCTACCGAGCTGCTCGGCATTTCGGTCGTGACGCTGGCCTACTCCGTGTATTTGACGAGCTGAGCCGGATGGAACTGGATGCCTTCCCTGTCTTCAACCAGCGTGGGCAAGTCAGGTGGTGTCCAGTTGTAAATAATTACGCCTAATGATGGAAAGGCGAGCAGAGCAAAAATTCTTACCTAAATTGAAGTTAGAGAGAACATTATTGTAATACATAGAAGCCAGCTTGAGCTGGTATCCTCTTGTTTGCAACAATGTGCACGGCAATGCTGTGCGTGTGTGATGATGGTGATATATATATATATATATGTGATGATGGTGATATATATATATATATATATATATATATATATATATATATATATATATATATATATATATATATTCCTGGTGACGAGTGAGGTACATTTGCCCCCCCCCCCCCCCCCACGACCATTCGGAAAAGAGTTGGTACGCCACTGCTGACGGCCATGAAAAATTATGCCTGAGGCGCTTGCAAGGGATCGGGGCATTCAACAACTCACTCGTTATGAGATTCGTATTAAGTGACGCCTGGCTGTATTGTAAAACACTTTATTACTAATATTAACGAGATTTCTTTCCCGACATCAGGCCTGCTTCCAACTTAGTTCCAAACACCTGCACGGCTCAGTGGTAGAATACCACTGAGCCGTGCAGGTGTTTTTTTTTCTACCATGGTATTTATTAAAGTACTTGGGCAATCATGACAAAATCAAGCGAACAAAAGTACAATCAAATCGCGAAAGTAAGCTTTCAAGTGTTACTCATAAACACTAAATGCCTAACAAAGCGCGAGTTCTTGACATGGAGAGTTCTTCACATTGTGTTATACAAACAAAAAAGGGGTGAGGTCAAACAGTTCTCTAAGACGGGGTATCAGTCCGGTCTAAAGTCTAGCTCGTCGTAAATGTTTTTTAGGTGGATAGCCATTTGAATGAAGTGTGCGCTTGAAGAGGTGGTGGGCTCTACATTGCGGTCTTGCATTCGTGTCTTCCACAAGCTGTGCATACCCATGAGGAAAAACATATCATATGGTACTTCATCAAGCGCTGCTGGCAGAAGATAACGTATTGTGTGAGAATTAATGACGAAACGTTTTTTCAGTGCTCGCTGAAGGACATCCCAAAACAGTATGGCATCTTTGCAGCTAACAAAGCAATGTTCAATCGTTTCCGGCACATCACATAGACGGCAGTTAACAGACGGAATGAAAATACCTTTTCTTTCTAACCATCTGTTTACCGCCAATGTTTCAGAGTGGAGTTTATAGAAGAATGTTTTTGAATTCGGTGGAATGTACATTTCGCGCACTCGCTTCAACACATCGTGACCTGGAAGATTGGCGTATAGTGAACGGTACAATGGAGGTGGGAAGAGTGTACTCAGTAGGTCCTTATACAGCACCTTGCGCGATACTGCGTACAGGTATTCTACAGAGAAGCGAGCTTTAAGGAACTGAACTGCGAGGTAAACCTCCTGCATGAATCAATTGGATGAAACAATTAAGGATGAAACAATTAAATCTGGTAAGCAATCAAAAAGTGTAACCTGCACGAAGGAACGGATTACAGGATGGGAATTGTCTCGAAAAAAGAAAAATCGGGACACTATTTGCCATAGATAAAGGTGTTTTAGTCCTAACCCACCCTCACTAACTGGCTTGAATATATTATCACGACGCATGGGCTCAAAAGTCGAAGACCATATGAAAGTAGCGAAAATCCGATGAAAGCGTTGTATATAGAATCTTGCGCAATGAATAAGTTGCAATACATAGTAAAGTTTTGTTGCTAAGAAAGTATTGCAAGCTTCAGCTCTCCCAAATATCGAAAGTCGATAGGGCACAAATGTCTGGGCCTGTCGTTCAAGCTTAAGGACGCGCGTTCCTTCCAGTAATGCGCACTGAATCTATATGCATGCAATGGTACACCGAGGTATGTTGGAGGAGTTCTTGTCCAATTAATCCCTGCAAAGTGGTTCGGTGTGCTACCCCACAAGCCAAACCACAGTCCTAAACTTTTAGAGGCATTTAAACGAGCTCCTGATACTACGCCGAACTATTCAATAGTATATACCACATTTTCGACACTTGGTTTATCTGTGCAAAATAATGCGACATCGTCTGCATAAGCCAATACTTTAACCTCACTGCCTAATTGTCACGCACTTCTGGTGAGGCCCCGCCGATCCAACATCGACGTGCGGCAGACTCGCAGGCTTCCGCTTTACGCTTCGGCCTGCGACGCCTGAAAGGCCTCGAAGTGGCACATTTCGAATTTATTTGCGGGTTGGCCGACCCGTGCGGGGTTGCACGTGTGGTGATGTGTGGGCCTGACCGACGCACTCATAGAGCAGACACAGAGTTTGATTACACTTAGACAAACATTTAATTGAAACAGGGGCCAAGGCAGGAGATTACAAAAATAACAAAGGAGGAAAACTGATACGCGCGATAGAAACAACAGCTATATAACAAAAGGTGCTAAAAACACTACAACAGATACAGGCTAAGGACAAATATGCGGAACATTAATAAAATAACAACAAGATGGAAATCAAAGGAGAGAGACACTATAAATTAATTACAGAATGATCATGGTGGCGCTTTAGAATTTAAACGTGCGACGCAGCGCACACTACAATATTTAAAAAAAAGGCTGGTTAAAACAAGTTTACGGTTTAACAAAAAAGTCACAATAAAAAGTTCCATACGGACCAAACCAGCCCTTGGTGCACGTAGGGGAGTTGACGGGTGCCGCTGAAGGTCTCGCCGGCTTGGTAGACGACGAGGGTGCCCGGAATTGCAGCCGTCTCAATACGTTGCGCGGGTCACTCCGTGCTCGCCGCCTACGCGAGACTCGCGACACCGACGACCGCACTTGTTGCTGTCTGTACGTCAACTGCTCTTCCGATGCAGTTCAAACCGCCTCAGGGGCGTACCCGTGCTCCCGTCGTCTCATCTGGGAGAAATTTTCCTTGTTTAGATCGGCGGTGCCCCTTCCGGTACCGGTGCAGGGAAGACGAGCCGGCGCCACGCTGGGTCGTTATAGTCGCCGGATGTCGTCCCCCAACACAAAAGCGCCCTTCCTTGGTAGGTGGGGCCCGCGGATGCTCCGAAAATTGGAGTCGTTTGTGACACAGCCCCCCCTCCTAAGAATATTACTGGGTAATATTCAAGAAAAGCACAAACGCGCAATGTTCGCGAGCCTCCAGTGTTTCGGTCATCCACCAACGCGTTTCTTCCTTTTCTTCTTTTTCGCGCACCATTTCGCTGACGTGGGCGACACGGCAGAGAGACACCCGACACACCACACCCTCACGGTCACTATACGATGAATGTCATACCCCGCGCACCACGACACGGACACACACATGAAACGCGAAGAAAACACACACTGCTAGAATCGAGGGAGCTGCATTCGAAGCACCCCTTCGGGCCATCATGACACTGATCACAAGATAATCACAACACATAATTCTTCCAATGCCAGGAGAAAACAAAAATACCGAGCAATTCTAAATCAAAGTGATACAGAAAGGTTTCAGACAAACTTAAGAAGGTACAAAGTATCCATGTATGCAAACAAAACTTAACAATGCGGCCTTATGGCATGAATAAAACAGAAACCAAATAAAGTGAATGTCAGAGGCCGCTATACGCGACGCGATCATCTGCGTTTCATTGAACCTAAGTACACTCAGGCCTCCTCATCGCCGACTCGGCTCATGTAATCAGCCCCTACATTCTCTGAACCCTTTATGTGTTGTACTCGAAAACTGTATTGTTGGAGCTTAAGACTCCAACGAAGGACTCGTCCATTGGAACATTTCGCCCCCTGAATGAACTTTAGAGGTTCATGATCCGTCTGAACAAGAAAACGTCTCCCGTACAAGAAAACCTGGAACTTCTCGACTCCCCAGACAAGAGCAAGAGCTTCCTTTTCGACCGTTGAGTATGCTACCTCTCGGGGTAGCAACTTTCGACTAGCATAGGCCACGGGGTGGAGAATCTGCTCGTGTTCTTGGAGAAGCACCGCTCCGATTCCCCTATCCGATGCGTCAGTCCGTAGAACAAACGGTCGTTCGAAATCTGGAAGCTTCAGTATGGGTGTGGTTGTCAGGCATTTCTTGAGCTGAACGAACGCGCTCTCCTGATCCGGGCCCCATTTCACAGTGTTAGGAAGCCCCTTTCGGGTGAGGTCGGACAATGGGCTTGTCAATGTTGCATAATCGCTAATGAACTCCCGGTAGTATCCCGCTAGCCCAAGGAAGGATCGCACCTGTCGCTTCGTGGTTGGCCGGGGTGCCCTCTGAATCTTATCCAAGGTCCCGGAAAGCGGAGAAAGCTCCCCGGCGCCGATCTGATGCCCAAGGAACGATATTTGCTGCATGCCTATTTCGCACTTTGCCGGTTTTACCGTCAGCCCCGCTTTACCGATGCGGATGAATACCTCCCTGAGGGTTCGACAGTGCTCCTCCCACGTGGTACTTGCGACTAGTACGTCATCATAATAGTACGCGACGTCTGGGACGTCCGAGAGGACGCGTCTCATGAGTTTAGTGAAAACGGCCGGTGCAGTTTTTATCCCGAAAGGCATATAGCAAAACTGGTAGTGCCCCGATACGGTAGCGAACGCTGTTTTCGGTCTTGCCTCAAGAGCAAGAGGTACCTGCCAGTACCCCTTGGCAAAATCCAACTTCGAGAAAAACCGCTTCGTGCCCACCGCCGCAAGCAGCTCATCAGACCGCGGGATGGGCTCAGCATCGTCCACCAAGACTTCATTAAGTCTACGAAAGTCGATACACAGTCTGTGTGTTCCATCTGGTTTTCGCACAGCGATGACGGGGGAATTGAAGGGTGAGTCAGATCTTTCCACAATACCCAGCTTCAGCATTTCGGCTACCTCTTCCTCTATAATGCCTCTCACTGAGAAAGGCATTGGGTATTGTCGGACGTGCACGGGTCGTTCGCTGGTCAGTTCGAGCTTGCATTCCGTCAGCCCCTGTTCTTCCAGGAAGGTCCGAAAAGATCTTCTGGTGCTCTTGGAGTAATTGGGTGACCTCTGCTTTTTGTTGCACTGACAGGTGATCAGATATCTTCACGTCCCGGAAAGACTGCAATTGATGGGGCTGTAAGAGCTCGATGTCCCCACTTTCCGGGTCTTCGCAACTGACAATGGCCCCAGCTCCAGCAATTTCGGGGCTTCGCTTTTGATAACGCTTCAACATATTTATGTGAAAAATTTTGCAGGAGCTGCCGACCTCGACTTCATAATCGGCATCCCCCTTTTTGCTGACAACGTTGAAGGGTCCTTTCCACTGCATTAGCAACTTGTTGTTATCCGTGGGCAATAAGATCAGTACTTGCTCCCCCGGTTTCAAGGAACGCTTTCGGCTCTTCAAGTTGTAGTACTTGCCATAGCGCTCCCCTGCACGCTCCAACTCCTCGTGCGCCAGTCGACAGGTGTGCTCTAACTTCTCCCGTAGGGAAACGACGTACTCGTACGTGGTCTTCAACTCTTCCGAAAGAGCCGTATTTGTCCACAACTCCCTTAGAACCGCCAGCGGCCCTCGAACAGTCCTTCCGTACAACAATTCAAATGGAGAAAATCCGAGACTTTCCTGTGGGACTTCGCGGTAAGCAAATAATAACGGAGCGAGATAACGGTCCCAGTCGTGCGGTTTCTCCTGGCACATGCGTTTTATCATCTGTTTGAGCGTCCCATTAAACCGCTCGACCAGGCCATTCGCCATTGGATGATACGGGGTTGTGTGGAGCTGTTTGAGAGATAGCAGGCGGCTGACTTCCTTCATAACTTCGGAAGTGAAGTTTGTGCCCCGGTCGCTGAGTACTTCGCGAGGCACACCTACGCGCGAAAACATTTCCACCAGCGCTTCGGCCACCCTTTCGGTTTCTACACTTGGTAGCGCAACAGCATCTGGGTATCGAGTGGCATAGTCGACCATCGTGAGAATATATTTGTTGCCCTGGGTTGACCTGGGAAAAAGCGGTCCAACTATGTCAATCGCCACCTTCTCAAAGGGAGTAGAAATGATGGGTACTTTGACCAGGGGCACTTTTCTGGTATGTCCCTTAGGCGCAGTCCGCTGACAGATGTCACAGGACGCGACGAAGCGCTTCATGTCAGCCTGCATCCCCGGCCAGAAAAATTCGGTTCGAACCTTCGAGAGCGTTTTCTTCACCCCTTGGTGTCCTCCCATGGCGCCATCATGGGCCAAGTGCATTATTGGGACACGAAATTTTTCTGGTACGACAACTTGTGAGAACTCTTCCCCGGACTTCGACACGTATCTTCTTTGGAGTAATCCCTCTTGTATGAAAAACGTGTGGCGGTCCCCGTTCTTGCTGTGTTTCTCAACATTTAGGCGATTGAATCCAGCTTGTAATGTCAAGTCTTTTTTTTGCTCCTCGACTAGTGCTTCCCGGCTAACGTCCAGGGAAGCTTCAGGTACCCGCAACTTCTTCCGAGTGGTTTCCCTACAGCTTTGTGAGCGCGTAACCGCGGGGTTGGCTTGAGGTACTTCTTGTCCCTTTTGCTCCTCCCCCGTACCGTCATCCGTCAGCAGCTCCTGCCCCTCTGCCTTGGCGTCTTGGGATGCGTCCACATTGCTCCCAACATCATATTTCTTTTGGAGGTTCCAGTGTAGATCGGGGTCATCAGCTGGTCGTACGCCCTCTACGTTACCCAGGATGAGATCGTATATGGGGTTCTCCATACATTTTGCCTTCAGTCGGCCTGAATAAAATGGGGTCTCAACGTCGACCCATGCCTCACGCAGCATCCTCACTGAGCGGTCCAGGAGGTAGACTGGTGCGCTTGTTCCAGTAAAGTCATCGTGATTGACCAGACTAGTTTTGACAATGACCGTGTTGCAGCCGGTATCCCTGAGGACGCGAACTTCTCTGCCTCCCACCAAGCCGGTCAGCACAGGAAGCCGCTCGGTAACTTCAGTGTACTTTTCCGTGATGCCGGCACTGACGACAGGGACTCTCTCGCCGTTCTTCAACTCTAAGAATCCTTCATCAATGCAGGCGGCTGCCGATTCTTTCGTTGATGCACGGTCATTGTTTGTTTCCTTCTTCCAGCACTTCCAGGAAGGGTGGCCTGGCCTTCCGCATATCTGACACGGTTTTCTTTGATCGCCCTTGCCACCGTTGGAGAGCTTGCAATTTTCGGCGTTATGTGTGGTACTCGAGCACAAGAAACACCGTTTCTCTGTTTGCCTTTTAGCTCCATTCAGCGGCTGGTAGTCTCGACTCTGTCCCATTTGGATAGTCGGTGCTTTCGGCCTTTCTCTCGCTGCCGCCATCCTCGAGAAGTTGCGCCAGCCATGCGCCTCCGTGTATTGTTCAGCTCTTTGTACCATATCCCCTAGTGAAGCGTCTGTTTTTTCCCTCAGGAAAAGTTCCAAGGTGGTTGCGCAAGTGCTCAGAAATTGTTCCTTTAGGACTAATTCAAAGAGCGCCTCGTAGCTGTTCCCAGTACCCGCCAGATCAACCCATCTTTCGAGAAAATTTCTCAGGCGAGTTAGAAACTGTGAGCAAGTTTCGTTGTTATTTGGTGTGGCTCTTCGGAACTTCTCGCGAAACCCCTCCTCAGTAAGACGGAAACGGATCATTAGTGCTTTTCGCAGCTTCTCGTAATCAGTACAATCTGACGCGGGCATCGGGCTGAAAACATTCAACGCCTCCCCACTGAGACAGAGGCTTAAGGCTGTAGCCCAGTCTTCGCGGGGCCACCTTTGACTTTGCGCGACGTGCTCGAACCTTCTCAGGTAGGCGTCAAGGTCGTCGCGTGCCTCATTAAATGGGGGCATCAGTTTGTGTGGGCTAATGGGGTGCATGCGCCCGGCCGCTTCTGAGCCTGTGGTTTGTCCCGACTGGGGAGTGGACTGCTGACGCAACGACAAACGCTCCCTCTCCTCCTGAATTCGGAGCCGGGATTTTTCCCTTTCCTGCTCCATTTCGAATTCCGCGAGTTGCCTGAAATATGCGCGTTCCGCATCACGCTCTTCTTTACGCTTACTGCGCTCTCTTTCGACAAAATCGTACAACTCTCTGCCCTCGAGACCAAAACCCCTGCCCTGCTGCATAAGTTTATCGAAATCAGTGTCCTCCATTGCTACGACTAGCTGCCGAACAACGGGCCAATATCAAGGCGACTGCACACTGTTGGCTCAGAGTTACGTCGGTCTCCCAGACACCACCACGTGGTCGGCCAGTCCTGTCGCGCGGACGCCAGATAATGTCACGCACTTCTGGTGAGGCCCCGCCGATCCAACATCGACGTGCGGCAGACTCGCAGGCTTCCGCTTTACGCTTCGGCCTGCGACGCCTGAAAGGCCTCGAAGTGGCACATTTCGAATTTATTTGCGGGTTGGCCGACCCGTGCGGGGTTGCACGTGTGGTGATGTGTGGGCCTGACCGACGCACTCATAGAGCAGACACAGAGTTTGATTACACTTAGACAAACATTTAATTGAAACAGGGGCCAAGGCAGGAGATTACAAAAATAACAAAGGAGGAAAAACTGATACGCGCGATAGAAACAACAGCTATATAACAAAAGGTGCTAAAAACACTACAACAGATACAGGCTAAGGACAAATATGCGGAACATTAATAAAATAACAACAAGATGGAAATCAAAGGAGAGAGACACTATAAATTAATTACAGAATGATCATGGTGGCGCTTTAGAATTTAAACGTGCGACGCAGCGCACACTACAAATATTTAAAAAAAAGGCTGGTTAAAACAAGTTTACGGTTTAACAAAAAAGTCACAATAAAAAGTTCCATACGGACCAAACCAGCCCTTGGTGCACGTAGGGGAGTTGACGGGTGCCGCTGAAGGTCTCGCCGGCTTGGTAGACGACGAGGGTGCCCGGAATTGCAGCCGTCTCAATACGTTGCGCGGGTCACTCCGTGCTCGCCGCCTACGCGAGACTCGCGACACCGACGACCGCACTGGTTGCTGTCTGTACGTCAACTGCTCTTCCGATGCAGTTCAAACCGCCTCAGGGGCGTACCCGTGCTCCCGTCGTCTCATCTGGGAGAAATTTTCCTTGTTTAGATCGGCGGTGCCCCTTCCGGTACCGGTGCAGGGAAGACGAGCCGGCGCCACGCTGGGTCGTTATAGTCGCCGGATGTCGTCCCCCAACACAAAAGCGCCCTTCCTTGGTAGGTGGGGCCCGCGGATGCTCCGAAAATTGGAGTCGTTTGTGACACAAATATTCTAAAGCCACGAATGCAACTCGACTGTATTATGCTTAAGCACAGTGGTTCTAGATAAAGTGCAAATAAAAGAGGTGACATCGGGCATCCCTGTTTTACAGAAGAGCGAATAGAAACTGGCTTAGAGAGTTGACCATTAACTATCAGGCGAGTTGAGCTTCATTATAGCATAATTTAACGCCTTTAAGAACAACTTTGCCAACATTAGCTTGTTCGAGAAGAGAAAAAAGGAAGGAATGACGAACACGATCAAAAGCTTTTGCAAGGTCTACCTGTAGCATTGCAAGATGTTTTTGAGAACCATGACAGTATTGAAGCACTGTTCGAGTGACATGTATATTGATTTGTATGGATCGACCTCTAATCCCACATGTCTGATGAGACCCAATGAGGATCGACATAGCAAATTGCAACCTATTTGCTAATACTTTTGCGAAGATCTTGTAGTCCACATTTGACAGCGATATTGGTCTGTAGCCCTCGACGAAGCGAAGTTTTTCCTTGTCAGTTGTTTTCGGTATTAACACAGTGTGACTTTTGCAAAAAGATTGTGGGAGTGTATCCATGTCAAAACTCATCTGAAAAATATTCAGCAATATAGGAGCAAGCGTTTTCTTGAAAGCTTTGTAAAATTCGCCTGAGATGCCATCAGGCCCCGGTGTTTTCAATAATGGCAAGTTGTCGATTGCTTGCTCGATTTCCTGTATAGTAATGGGCCCATTAAAGGCTGCCCAATCATTGTCCTTCAAGGGGTTCACAAGAGAAACAAAACTAGCCTTGAGGTGAGCGTCAAGATCATCAGAGGGAGAGCTAAATAAGCTGTTATAGTACATTTCGAACGCCAAAGTAATGTCTCCGTTATCGTTTATGAGCACATCGTTAAAGTACAAGTCTGGAATAACTTTATAAATCGCATGGCGTTGCTCATCAAGTAAAGCTTGGCGCGTCGGTTGCTCAGAATTTAAAGTGCGCTGGTTCCGAGATCTAATACGTGCCCCTTGGTAGCGAGCAGCATCATATCTCTGTAGTTGGCACTTAATATTCTCAATATCTTTGATCTACTTTCCCGGCATTTCGCATTCCATCTCATAAAGATTGCAAAGACTTTTAACTAGTATCTTTTCATTATTCTTTCTATAGAAAGACTTAACAGCCCCAATTTCTAAAGCTATAGCACGAACTTCTTCTTTAAAAAGCTCCCAAGCAGCGAAGATATGAAAACCAATCGAAAAATATTGCCTCAATGCCATCTGGACGCGATATATGAATTCCTGATCACAGAGGAGCTTCGCATTCATTTTCCAAAGGGTCCACTGGGGACGGAATCGTTTGTGACGATTTTCACCAATTTGCGCTATGACAATACAATGGTCTGAAAATGATACAGCTTCGGTGCTGCAGGAAATTTTACGAGATAGGAGTGATGAGGACACGTAAATCCGGTCAAGGCGAGCATGAGAGCTGCCTTGTACTCTTGTATATGCTGTTGCCCGATTCGAGACCCCGATGTCAATTAGTCCTGCATTATCTACAATACCGGATACGGTGCTTAAGACTTGTTGGCAAACTTGTCTCAGGCAGGCTTGATGTCGGGAAAGCAATCACGTCAATACGAATTATAAAGCGCTTCAAAACAGTGAAAGAACAAGCATGCAGTCGTCGCAAAATGCGAACAGCGTAACGAGTGGGTCGTCCAATGCTCGAACCCATTACGAAAGCTTGTTTCTGTTCAGCTATTAGCTGTGGCGCATACCCATTTCAGAAATAATTCCTGATCGTCGTCAGCTACTGCATGACAAATGCCTCGCAATGGTTTAGTGGATACCACGATTCTCAGAAGAATGACAAAAAATAGCATAGCGAATGCCGGTCTACTACCCTAATTTTTATTATTGATGCAATCGTGGGCTTCAAGCAAGTGGGCTTGCAGCAGTTACCCAATGAGTGTTTAGAAAAGGGTCTGAAAGGCCGCTCTCGTAGCTTTCACTGTGACTGTGCTGCGCCTTCCGCGCAGGCCTGGCGTTTTGTTTTTTTTTTTTCCTCACCACTGGTCATTGTCAAGGGTAGGAAATCAATGGTGGCATCCCACCGCTGCCTCTAGTTGTTGAGGGCATGGCGTCTATGACATTTACGACGGGTTTCTTCACGGCTTCCCGCCTTCGTCCGCATAGCCGATCGTTGCCAGCAAAAAGACGACTTATTAGAAATAGAACGAAGGTTTATTTACATGATCAGAAAGATGGAACTGTACAGTGATTCAGCTGATGTTTACGAATGTATTCGGCTCTTAAAACCCGTCGTTTCCTGCACACGTCAGTTTGAGGAAGGTGGTGACCACTGTTGCCGCGTATCAGGTGACGTGAAGAATCAGTGGTCCACCCACCAGACAGGGGTGCAGATGTTGGACCAATCGGCTGTTGAGAAACACGGGCGAAAATGTCCAACGCGTAGCATGAGACACGAGAAAACACAGGAAAAATTAAGAGAGCGTTGTATTTATTTTCCTTTTCTTTTTGCGCTTCCCTTTCCAAATGATGTAAAGCAGCTAGCCGAAACCAAAGTACTTCTCATTCATGCTACATAACAAAGCACACCAATAACACATGCCAACTAGAGTAATGTCACGTGCAAGGCTCTTATTGAGGTACCGTCTAAAATTGAGAATATAATCAGAACACGGGACATTTTTCGTCTCTTTATTTAGGTACAGCTAGCATTTAACCCCGTTCTAATGAAGAGCGTACGGTGAGGGACGTCAGAGCACCAAAATCAACGTAAAGGAGTGACGTAAAAGAACGATCGACTATTCCTTGCTGTTTGTCACTCCCTTCATCTTGGGGCGCACGCCCGCGAGAAGGGCAAGTGGCATTCAGTATAAATTTAGCGTTTTTCCGCGACATGTAGTGTTCCAAATATTAACAGGCATGATTCAGAGTGCCGAGTGCATTCATTACGCTTGTCAGCTCGAAATGCCCCAACCTAGTCAGAGGCCCTCTAAGGTGTTCACCGACGAAGGAGATATTGATCCTACT